ATCTGTCAAAGTTGTAAGTTTTTTGTTAACGGGATCATTCGAAAAACTTAATTTGTTGGAAATATGCAATTTCTGTATATTTTGAACCTTAAACATTATTTTAAACAACAGAAAATATTAATTTATAATGTGATTTGTAAGCAATGATCAAAATAAAACAACATTTTTACGGTTTTATTATTTCACGGGCTATTGCGATGTCTCGATCGGAGACGATGTTATATCTTATAGACCAAAAATTTGGATATTTTATGAATGTACCTTCACTGTAATACATATAATGCAACTCAAAGTTGTTCAGCGAACTATGGAGAGGGCTATGCAGGGATTTTACTATGCGCGTTAGACTTCGTATTTTCAAAGCTAGCATTTCGAATTGCAGTCAGATCGCAATAACTTGTGAGCCGGGGCGTTATCTAAGTGATACAAAACAATCTTCACAAGTTTACCTCGCTTGTTTCTTTGTTTCGAGATCGTGGTGTTGGTGAGCTCCGTTTCTTCGCAGAAAATTATTAGACTTGCAACGAATATTCGGCATTATTCGGTATTCGGCCTATTCTGCTACTTTTATCCTATTCGGCCGAATACAGAATACTTAAGTAAGAGGTTTTTTTGTAGTCAGATAATTGGTAAAATTAAAATATTTACTTATTTTATAATTTTTTTTTTCTTGTAATCATTAAAGTAGTCTTACGTACATAATCAACTTCCTTATTATAAAAATTAAAAAAGAACTATCAGATAAACCTTAATGCAATGGAATTATCGTAATTAAAGTGGAAGATAATGGTGCAGAAACACAAATTTTTCTTCATTTTCAGGCAGTTTTACTCCTTTTTTTCTCATAGACAATCTTAGCTTCGGAGAATAGACGCTATGAAGAATAAACACTACTTCCTTCCCGGCCGAATATTTCTGCCTAGTATTGGGCTATTCGGCCAGGAAGTCCGCAGAATATTCGGTATTCGGCGTGTGGCCGAATATCCTATTCGTTGCAAGTCAAAAATTATTAATTATTAAAGACGAACAGGATCTTATTGCAACAGTTCTAAAAAGCTTAGGAAAATATTCAGTCAGGTTTATTTCTGCCCATCCGTAAGCATTCTGGATTATCCATCGCGCTGATACTTTTTTCAACCTCAAGCGTTCATATAAAATGTTATGCACACTGGTAATAAATCTTTTTTTTTTTTCAGTTTTTGTCGTTCTTTCTTTAATAGCCAGTAAAAGTCCACAACTGGGTCCCTACTACGTACAAATATGCATATTTTTTGTTGTTGGTTGCAAATTATTTTAGATGCATATATGTACTTGTTTACATGTGTATGTTCTTAAAATAAATTGAGCATTATTTAGCTCGGTCTATTCTTCTCTAGTCTATTTCTTTGTTATTTTGTGGATTGAGTCCCTAATGTGTAAATATGTATCTTTTGACTGACTTGTTCCGTAGTGAAATTTATCAAGCACGCAAATACTTATTAACTGCGCGTGGCATTTTTGCCAACACGCTAGAACATAATATTATGGCCAACAAATGACTTCTATTTTTGAAAACAAAGTAATCAGTTTTTTTTTTTTAGGTCTACCTATATATATCAGCTTTACCAGCCGGTAATTACTTTTTAAATTCCAAAGAGCTTGCACCGCATTTTCACTTTTTTTTGAACGCCTCTCGTATACTCAACGGTAACAATTGCATAGCATCATGTATGTGGTAGAGCCATGCTGCAGCTATATTACCGGTGTAGTTGTATCACGAGTGGGTCGGCTCGACCGGGGAAGGACCACGCTCTCACAGAATACCAGCGTAAAATAGCAGCTTAACGCTGCTATGTTTCGTATGGTGAGAATAGAGAGCCGGAGACCCGTTTTTACTGGAAACGAGGCATTCCATCTTAGTCCTCACGGGTGACAACGCATCTGCATTTTGATTCGTAATCGAAGATAGATGTAGATGCACAGCTCAGCAACCACTTACCATCAGGTGGACTGTGTGCTCGTTTGGACACACAGTCCACCTGATGGTAAGTGGGACATTATATATATATATGTCCCATACTATAATAGATGTGGTTTATGTATAATTTACACTGCTGATATAATTAATTGCATGCATTTTTGCAAATACCTTTTCTTTTTTTTCTTTTTTTTTATTTATTTAAAAAACGTTACCCCCACACTAGGATTTTCTCCTGTGTCGTGGAGGCAGTTTACAAACATAAATTGCACAAGGACAAACATCCAGACCCGGAACCACCTATATGCTGATGATCTACAGGTATATCTTTCCTGCAATTCACTTGAATTTCAATCTACAATTAGTAACATCAATGAGGACCTGAATCGAATTACAATATGGTCACAGAAAAATTTCCTCATTTTAAACCCACTAGAAACTAAAGATATGCTTTTAGGATCAAAAAACCAAATCAAATTTTTAGAAAATCAAAACCCTAAAATCATGTTGTTAAACATCCCTCTGGAGCGTGTAGGTGAAGCTCGTAACCTCGGTTTAGTTATGGATAGCAGATTGCGTTTTGAAAAACACGTACTCGAGCTTGTCCGCAACTGCTTTTATAGGTTAAAGGTGTTATATAGAATCCGCGAATACATTCAGTTGGACTTAAGAATTAAGACTGTGTGAATCTCTCGTTCTTTCAAAATTTAACCACTGCATTACAGTGTATGGACCCTGTATTCTGGAAAAGTCACAACGTTATACAAAATGCATGTCCACGATACTGCTTCTCAATACCAAAACGGTCCCATGTACCACCTTTTTTCAATGAAGCAGGTATTTTGAAAATGAAAGCGCGACAGTAACTATACCTCGCTAATCTTCTATTTGATGTCAAAACTAAGTCACCCCTATATTTATATGATAAACTTATATGGAGAAATGGACATAACATCATTAGGTCTTGTACGAACCCGCTTTCCAATCCCACTTACTGTTCTGCAGCTTTCAGAGGTAGTTTTAAATATATAGCTACAAGGTGCTGGAACGACATTCCTCCACCTATTTGTGAGTGTAATTCAAACTACAATTTTATATCCCACTATAAAAATCATTTATTACACTCACAAAAAGCTCAACCTTGAGCCAATCTTCCAGCATCGTTGAGCATTATATGTTTGTTTTAGTGTGTGTAGTCATAAACACTTCCAGGCGGATCGTGCGTGTATCTGTGGTTATGGCAGAATCATCAGCGCTGTAGGTTACCCTGCAGCATTACGCTGAATAACCTTTTCACTGGCTCGATACACTCTTGTAATTTTAATCTACTATACTTGATACCATATGTGTACAGTTCCAGTGAATAAATGTTTTTCTTTCTTTCTTCTTTCTTTCTAATAATAATAATTATAGACAAAGCCTTTCTCGTAGTAGAGAATGCTATAGCTTGATATGCGGACTGGCGATTACCATTAGACCAGAGGTTTCGCACCGAACACGCTGCCGATCAACCTCTAGTGTACACGACATTGTAGTCCTGCGCCAGCTTCCGTAAAATACGAGGTAATTAAAAATAATGATACAGATATGTTACTATATTTTTGGTTAAGATGGAATAGTTGCCAACTAGTACATAAATGATTTACGCAGTTTCCCTTTAAGTAGATATTAGGGCTTTTATACCTAGAAATCTGTCTGCACATTATGTACGGGTACAATCTAATTTTTAATTATTTAAATCTAAATTATTTCAATCTCAAAACAGCAATCCACTGTTCTGTGCCTGTGTGATTAATAAGAGAGCCAAACTTTTTTTTATAAAACTGAAGTGACACGAACTTCCGTAACAATCCATAAGCGGCTACTGCAGCGTTGGCTGATGCGTTGTCACCTCTGAGGACTAAGATGGAATGCCTTGCAACCTATAATTATACTGCCTCTCTATAGCCTTCAGTGGTGGAATATATATCTCTAAGGTACCCACAGTTACGATTATTCATCCAATCCATTCCATCATTACTCAAGAGTAATAACTGACAACACATCTGTAGCCCTTGTGGCTTGCTTACCAACAAGTCAACATTCGTTCGTTCTATTATTTTTTAAAATATCTTGAAACATATTCCGAAATTCCGAATGTATAATATTAACAATCAAATAAAAAACGTTTAAATCACTTACTACTGTCCACGAGCCATTATTGCTTAATAGCATTTTTTTATAGAATTAAAGGTGACCAACAAGCACCCAAGTAACTATATTATATGATATTTTTAAAACTAAGCATTTAGGAGTAATCGCTGTGGTTGAAATCGACTAGGGTGAAAATCTTCATCATCATCATCATCATCATCATCATCACCAGAATATCACAGAATGATGACGATTACGATCGCTACTTTATTCTGTTAACGAAACGAACATTCTTCTAGCAGTTACAGTAATAACCAAAAGTCAACGTGATAGAGATTATCAGGTCTGGACAGGGCAACCGCTGAGCCAATCTTCTTTGAACATGATCGCGACGATCCGATTGATCTTATCGATTAAAAAAGTATATTTTTGAACACGAACATCGCTAATCAAATTCAATTTGGGAAAAAATACTAAATAGGCTTATTTATTCATAAAATCAATAAAGTATAATTAAAATTGGCAGTGAAAACCGTGTAGGTGCAGTGTAAAAATATCCACTACCCCACATACCGCCTACCAAACGTGACAACTATAGCAGAATTCTAACTATAAGGCAATCTATGGGGAGACCTGTTCAGCAGTGGACTTTTATAGATTGTTTTGTAATGGAAAATGAAAATTAACAATTGAAAAGTGTAGCCGTAATAATTTATTAAAATTAATATTTATAAAGTTAAGATCGAATCGTAATATAGTAATAATAGATAAATTTAAAACAAAAATTAAAACAGATTTACATAAAAACTACAATCAATTTTTTATTAAATTTCAATGTGCTGCAGTTCGTTGCAGAAAACGTCACTCAAAAATAAAAATTAAAACGAAATAGTACACCTGTGTTCCTTACCTTTATCGAATATTCAGCCTAGCATTTGTAAGCCGCAGAAACATAAGATCAGTCCAATTAGGATCCAACAAGCCCTAAAACCAAAAATAAGCACTCTTTTTGCACTAAACAATTTTCCCACCACAAATGCCGACTTTTGTGGGCAATAAACTTTTACATGAACCGACAAACAATTTGCAAACTAACTTCGATAAAGGAAAACTAAGAATTATTACACAAAATAATTAACAGTAACACAATTTTTATTTACACTTTATCATTTAAAATTTAAATGAATAAGTTAACAAAACAGGCAAGTTAAAAAGTAACAACACAGAATGTTTTTATTCACGAACATTTTGGCGGCAACGGCCATATTGACACGTTCAATACGCAACGCGAGTCTAACTGGACTGAAGCAAAAATGGCGGTGGTTGGCTGGTTGCTTGTTGGTGACTAGCGTCGCTAGACCGAACGTGAACGACGCCGTGAGCCAAAGATCATGCGTGAGAATTTACAGGTGAGAGAATTGGCCATAAGAACAGGTAGGAAACACAATAAGCAATGATATCCAAAATTTCCGTACCAAAAAAACTTAATAGCATTCCACGCACTCGCAACTAACCGATCTTTGGCACAGAATACATAAAGATACGTGTATATATTCTGTGCCAATGATAATAAATAAAGTTTGGATAAGGGTAAATACCTATATTAAATGTTCACCTCGTACGAACAAAACCCAGTGAACATCTCATACGGGAATTAATTCGAAAATTCATCCATATTTTTATGCTAAGCCCAAAGCCTAAGAAACTGTTAACCAACATTAACATTACCAGTATGAAAAATATCATTTCATTTGGCAAGGATACGATGGATTTAAAAGAAATTCTCTTTTTCTAATAAGATTAGAGGTTTAATTCTAATAAGATTAAAAAAATGTTTCGAAAATAGTCTTAAATATCACACTGAATTGGAAGCTTTTTTATAATTCATTAGTATTTGTCATTTGTTTCAGGATATAATATTTATTATAAAAATACTAAGTACAAGTTACTATGATAGTCAATGACTATTTACGAAAGTATCAGTTCTGACGTAACATGTATTCTATGAATCAAGCAACAGTCTGCAGCGCTACCGCGGCGCGGGAAAACCGGTTTCAGGTTGTTAGAGTCTAGCAATTTTGAAAAATCAATAATACTACAAATTATAATAAACATAACTTATGAACAACTGGAAACATAACTTATAACTTCTACGTATTAGAGACACGCTTCCAACCATACATAGCTGCAGCACGAATATGTGCTAGGAGCACTCTCTCATAGAATACTACCACGAAACAGCTGAAAATTCTGCTGGTTCTTTATGTTAAGCGTAGAGAACCGGAAATGCTGTTTATTGGTAAAGAGGCATTCCATCTTAGTACTCAAGGGTGCATCTGCATTTTGATTCTTAATCGATGATAGGTCACAGATAAGTTCACACCCCTAAAGGCAAAGATAAAATGTCTCGCATACAATTTTCCAGGTTTTCTACGTGACGCAGTTAAAAAAAGATCCTTGTGCCAATTTGCTGTAATTATAATATCTTCTTATATACTTGAGTAAGTGGCTCTCCAATAACACAGAGTATGAACACATGTTTTGGCCTATCGTATGGTGCAAAATTCAGACGAATCCAGTACAACTCTCCGATGGTTAGCTACCAAGATTTTTCATTTGCCCGCAGCATTCTCATCATGTGTTTAAAATGTCGTATCTGTCATGCCAGTATCTGACCTAAATACAACTCTTCTTCTAGGTAGTTTACGAAAGTAATACGTTCAGTTCCTACTCGTAGAACTTAACCGTTGCTTAATTACATCGTAAAACTTTAGTCTCCCCCGTCCTCCCACATACATTCCTTATTTTTCGACGTTTTACATACATAAATTACACATGGATCAAAGTTTGAACCGCAACAATAATTATTTGTCGGCCATACAAATACAATCATAACGTGCGGAATTCGAAAAATCCCAAAGCACCGCAGTCAAACGCTTAGCCATTATGGCACCGAGCTGTCATGTTATTGCCAATCATCATTGAATTCCCTTGGAGGCTCACACCTCATACTATACCGCATTGCGCTTTCAGTCCTGCAGGGCTTGTGCTGTGGACTTTCTACAATCGTTAGTGAGATAGAGAACTATGAAAAATTAATGGGAATGAGATATCTACGTTAAGGCATAAGCCACTGTCACGTGACATCACTACGATTGTATAACAACTTGTCTAAACCTTCTGAGTTGAGGAAATAAAGACGAATCAAAACAAAATCGTTAACAAACACTTAACTATTCTGGTCATAAGTAACATTATACCTTCGTTAATAAAGAAACTGATTGACTTGTCGCTATTTCACATGCATGTATTATTTTCACCGTGATTGTTAAATTACATTAATTACAACTTAGGTTAATTACACGAGATTATTATGAAAGAGGATCGTTAAAGAGAACAGAAAAGCAGTGACTGCTTGGCACAAAGTGGGTACAGAGCCGTTTATAAGAATTTAAAGGGTTCAAAAGTCAGGCATCAGCCGCAGGTTTGTGTATCACACAACAATGAACAAGGCCTTAACAGATCGGGGTGACCCCGTGCTGTTAGGGCCAAATGCTGTCAAAGTCAGAATTCGACTAAATCGAAACCCTAAAAGGTAACAAAAACATTATCCGCTGAAATGAAGGTTTCCGAAGGCTTGAAGCTAGATGCATACCGACAGACACACAAGACATACTCCAACTCATTCCCTACAGTTTAAAAAGAGTAGATCGATTTAAATGCTTGCCTGCCCCGATACGCTAGCGAAAGACACAGAAAAGTGTTCTTTACAGATAAAAAAATGTCTACGATTGAAGAACACAACAAAATGACAAGTATACTCATATCTCTTAAAAAGCCTCGTAACTTATTGGAAAAGTTGAACGTGATTACACCCTGCATCAATCATGGAAGACTCGCGACACTTCACTTTTGTGAAGAAATTAGTAAAGATTTTGGTCAAAGTTTATCTATAGTTTGTCTTGGACCCTGCAGTAAAAGCCTCTCTGAGTGATACACTTTCCAAAAATGTACCGCGGACATTAGAGTTCGAGCAAGACACTGAGCCAAGTTACAAGGCACAAACAAATCAAGCCTGGCTCGAGAACAATATTCTAGGCGTCATAAGAGCTGAAGAATGGCCTTCGGCCAGGCCAAATTTGATCCCGTTAGACATCAAATTCTGGTCAGAGCTATAGAGCACATGGCCTTGAGAGATCAATGCTAGAGTTTCAAATCCTACTCTGGTATTGAATCTCTAAAGAAATCTAAATAAGAAAGCTAGCAATAGCTTAATTTCCCCATGCAAACGTGACAGTGCGTAAATCTATAAGCTAAAGGCCTGTCTAAGCAATTAATTAAATTTTAAAAAAATATAAATAAGACTTCGATAAAAAAAATTTTTTCACAAATAACTTTGTGCAAATATGCAGTGTTTGATTTACAGGTCCGACAGCCCCAGGCTAAATATGAATATGCAACCTTACCCCCCTCACCGGTCTGTTCTGTCTGTTCTTGCTCAGTCTAAGAATATATTTACTAGATTTTTATAATATCTTACTAGCTTTCCATCGCGCAGTTTCGCCTACATTAAATCAAATTTTCCTAATAGTAAGTATCGATCATCGTACATGAACAAATGCGACACCAGGGAATTCGACAGGGCGGAGAGTTCAGCGTGCATGACAACGCACGACTAAGGATTTCCGAAACAGTTAATTGCTATTGTCAGTACCTACGTGAATACTTATTTACTTATCTTCACGCACAATCCCTGACGGGGTAGCCAGAGAGAACAGATCGCCAAGTGTCACGATCCTTACATACCTCTTTCGCTTCTTTCAGATTCATTATCTTCTTCATACATGCACGTCTAGGTATCCGAGTACTCTTGACCCTCCCCTCTTCGAGCAATTTGCTCACATGATCTTCGAAAGTTAGTCTCGGTCTACCTCGACACCTTTTAATATTTACTTTCGCGCTATATATTTTCTTCAACATTCGGTCTTCACTCATTCGCTCAACGTGCCCAAACCATCGAAGCACGCCCTTATCAATTTTTGTGATAAGGTCATCTTTAAAACCTGCCATATTGCGAATCTCTTCGTTTCGCTTTCGTTCGGCCATGGTTCACTGCATTCAACTTACTTTTATGCTTCTTCTGGCATACCCAGGTTTCGCTGTCATATAACAAAGTCGGTACCAACACTGCGTTATGTATTGCAAGGCGTGCACTTTTCACTACGCCTTGCCTTTTGGCTAACGCAGTCAGGGCACCATTGCCTTTGTTCCCGGCAGCGACACGCCTGTCCACATCTACATCACATCTTCCATCCCGGCTGAAAGCACTCCCCAAGTAGTACCTATATAAAACAATTATCGTTTAGTTTATGTTATTGTGTTGTATTAATATAACAGTTTTTGTAGAATAAAGGTGACAAACGAGCACACAGTCCCCTGATGGAAAATGGGGGCTATGGTCCATAAACATCTTCATGTATCCTCGACTAAGAATTAACATGCAGATGCGAGCGATACACCTGAGAACTAAGATGGAATGCCTCGTTTCCAGTAATAAGGGCTGATCTACACTCACCGTACGAAACACAGCAGCATAAAGCTGCTATTTTACAAGCATTTCACATTGCGTCGAGTCATTAAAACTACAGGTGCGGTGGCGTGGCGTATCTAAAATGCGTAGATTCCGCCTTGGGCGCAAATAGCTAAAAATGCCACCCATACCCCTCCAACGACTTCATTTACTAAGTATCTTAAAAAAAATCGGTAAAGTCTTTCTTATAGTCTTTGTATATATAAAACATTATGTCCTTTTAAAACCAATCCCACTAGATGGAGTGACGACCTGGTAAGATATGCAGGAAGTCGATGGATGCAGGTGACTCAGGACCGTGCTTTGTGGCATTCCTTGGGGGAGCCCTATGTTCAGCAGTGGACTTGTGAAGGGCTGTAATGATGATGATGATGAAAGCCAATCCAAGTTGTGGTAGCTCAGGGGCTTAGCGCTCGCTGTAAATTTCAGAGCAACCCGGGTTTGATCCCCGACGGCACCAATGAAATTTTTAACTACAATTTTAAGTGCTCGGTGAAGGAAAACATCGTGAAGAAACATATACATATCTGAGAAATAAAAAAATATTTTGAAGATCTGTGAAGTCCGCCAACACGCACTGGGGCATTTCCTTGCCCTAAAACCCTTCCAAAAATGAGAGGAGGTATGTGCCCAATAGTGGGACGTATATAGTCTGTAACTTTGCTTTACTTTACGTCCTTTATACTTATCGCTACCCTGGGCAAGTACGTGTTT